TCTTCCTTTTCATGGTAGATAGGAAAAATATAACATTTTCATGTTTTCTCAAGATGTAAAGGCTACCACTATTACCTCTCAAGACATTTGTTTCATGTTTGTACTTGCGAAATTGTAATAAACAAGAATTAAAAATTAATTAAACAATGGGTTACTGATAAACTCAAAAACATGAAAAATGTCATGTGTACTTTTTATAAACTTTTAAGGATAAATTTTGTTTTTGTCAAGCGACTCTACTATCTGAATTTTTTTTTTTTTTTATAATGTTCTTAAGAATTTTATCTACTTATATTTCTACTTTCTCAAACATTATTAAAAAAATTCGGTCTTTATTTGAATAGCGGAAATTTTGAAAAATTTAGAGTTAGTAGCTTTTTATTACTATATTTATAAATATATATAATACTTTTGTTTACTTTCGATTAATAAAAAATATATTATTTTTGTTTGTTTAAACCCAAATTCAAATTACAGTTTGTAATCGAGTTTGGATCTCAAATAATACAATTAGAAACTCTTTCGCAGTGTTTTTAAAAACTGTTTAATTGGTCGCCTACGTAGTGTTTAGATGCTAAACATCTGTAGCCCGTAACGATGATCTCATATTGGCATAGGCATTTTTTAATAAGCGGAGTAATTAGACGTATTTAGACGGTCTTATAAAACCGTCAATCAATTAACATTTCTTTTTCTTTCCAATATAGCTTTTAATTTTTTTTTTAACTTCATATAACTAATTTATAAGCTGTTTTGACTTCATAAACACATATTAAAGTTTATGTGATGTTTGATATAAATTAAGTGAATGTTTTTATCGAAGTTTTATGTATGGTTTAACAATCTTGTTTTTTTTTTTAAAATGGATGTTTTGTCTAATTTGTATGTATAATGTTTTTTTGATAATTTAGTTTTAATATTTATAACAGTTCTTGTGAATCTTTTGTGTAATTTGAATTTTTGAAACGCCTTAAACCATTTAAAAGTTGTTTAAATTCTAGTTAGATGTTAGGCTAGAGACGATGGATTGCCGTCCGTTTTAGCCTTTAAAACTTTTTTGAACATTGTTTCTTCATATGAAATCGGTATTATTCGGTTAAAAACCAAACTATTTTTCCATAGAATATCACAACTTCATGTTTTGTTCCTACAACTTCATATTTTGTTCGGAGCACACCGCACACGTGCCGGTGCTGGTGGTCTTGGTTTGAAGTAGCAAACAGCAGACAGTGTTCTATTATTCGATAGTGATTGGAATCCACAAATTGACCAACAGGCCGAGGATCGTTCGCGCAGAGAGTGTTTGTTAATTGTTATTATATTCATTGTTACATAACACTCACAACAAGATTTTTGATCTGTTAAATGTGAAGCTCTCTGGTTTTATAAAGTTAGTTTTATTGAAAGATAACAAAACGTCTAGGACCTTTATTTACCATCTCCATGTAAAGTTTTGCATCAATGCTAGAAGCAATCCAAGAACATAGTTACGAAATTGATATCATTTTTAAATATCATAAATAAAAAACGTATACAAGAAAAAAAAAATTGTTATCCGTTAGTCGTTTGAGAAATTTTAAGAAATGCCACTTTTCAAGTGTCACTTTTAAAAAATGCCACTTTTTCAATTTTTTTGCAAAAATGCCACTTTTTCAAAATTATTTATTCATTATATCATTTATGTTTAGGTTAACTATGTTGTATTAGAGTTTAGTTTTGAGGGTTTAAGGGGTTTTAGGGGTCAAAACATTTTTTAGGGTTTATAATTTTAAGATTTAGGTTTTAAAATCCATAATTAGTGGTATTTTTGAAAATACATAATTCTAAGTGGCATTCTTGTAAATATACATACTAAAAGTGACATTTTTGCAATTGTCCATAGTTGTTTTGACAAAATGAAAAACTATATTTTCACAACAAAATATATAAAGTATGACATTCTACTGCAATTTAATTATAATATCTCATATCATTTTAGGACTAATATTTTTTAAGAACCTTTAAAAGGGATCAATTTAAGAAGTCCACTTTTTAAATTTTTATTTTTGTAAGAAAAATCAAAGCTTCTAAAAATCCGACGGCTCAAGCCTTCCACGTCTTTAGTTAAATATGGACCCATAATCATTGTGAAAACGTTCTGTCTGTATTAGGTTTCTAAAAAACTACTATACAAATAATTGACGTACGTTAAGGATGCTTCTTTCAATTAATGATATTCTTTTTGTAAGGACAACAAAAACCAAAAAACACTAATAGTAGTCTAATACTGTAGAAGAAGATCATAACTGGTAAAAGCGGAATGTGGCTGAATGTTTGCAGAATTTGGTTGAATTGTTTGGGATTTTTTGCAGAATCTAACAAAATATTTTGAAATGTAAATGGTAACTGTTGAATCTAACTGAATTTTTAAAATAAACTATTGGTTAAATAAACCAACAAAAATTAGTTAAAGAATTTTGTTGTTCTTGCTTAGTTAGATAAACTAATAAAATATTAACTTTCATATATGATATATTTAATAATTTTAGTAAACATAAAACTACTACATAATTTAACGAGAAAACTTGCAGTTTATCAAAACTATAGGTTAAGACGTTAAGTTATCTTACAAACATATTAAACTATTTCAAAGTTTTGTTTTCAGCAAAATTTACGCCAATTTTTTTATTTTGCTTTTCAAAAAATAAAACTTCAAATCTTTTTTTTTTAAATTATATTAGTACCAACAATAATTGAAAATTTTGAATCGTACTAAACAAAAAAATTTAAACTTAAAATCAAAATACACAACACGATCTATTTTCTTAAAATAATAAACCTACATAAGTTATCTACATTTTTATCAAAAAAATCTACAAATTATCCAAAACTATTTTTATTTACCTGCAATACCCGAACACGATATGGTTTTTACTCGTTTGATAATGATTTTAATTATTCGGATTATATATACCATATCAGCATCATTAATCCAGTTTTAAAGACATATTTCAAATGTAATTTTGATATCCTAAATATCTTGAGTTGACTGCTCTAAGCCCCTCAACTTTCCACATTCCGCTCTGATCCCCCTGGATTTTTGACCTCTCTATTTCTCCCCCTTAGAAAGTATATTTCTTCATCTTTCCTCCCAAACTATTTAAACTCTTCAAAAATTTTCAAATCGAGTTAAATCATTGATTTCGTTTAATTAACCGAAAATTGTGTTTCAAAAAATACCGTTTAGATTAACTTGGTTCATAATCGCGTTTGATATAACCCGTATTGTAATCCTCTTTGTGAAAAAATGAGAATTTTAAATAGGGATAAGATTCGAATTTTAGCTAAATTCGGGTTATTGTAAACACGATTAGGTTAGACGAATATCGCTTAATACACGGTTAATGAAACGCAATCTCGATTTTGGAAATTTTGAAGAATTTAAATAGTTTAGATGGAAATATGAAGAGATGTACTTTTTAAGGGAGAAAAATAAAGAAGTCAAAAGTCCAGGGGGATCGGAGCAGAATGAAGAAAGTTGAGGGGGGCCAGTACAGTCAACCCAAATATCTTTACATAACTCTCATATTCGTTCTTATCCATTTTTTACCCTGAATAAACATATTTATATATCACTTAGTGCTCTAAAAATTGTTAAATTCAACTAAATTTTTCAAATTTTTTTACGAAATTGCTGAATCTAACTGAATCTGGCAGAATTTTGTTAAATAGCAAATGGTATTAGCAGAATGTTGCAGAATTATAAAACAGTGTTACCATTTACACCGTAAATTCGAACATAGTTACAATCCATATTCAGATTTAATCCATGTTCAATACATGTCGCCAAAAACGAAGATTATGATCCATGTTCAATATTTGAATATGGACTCTGTTATTCTTTTTTCTTAAAAGTTATTTTAGACTTTAAAAATACACCAGTTTCGTTAATTTATGCGAAATTTTTTTTTCTTTTAAAGTATTTTGGATTTTAAGATACATCAATTTTTTGTTAATTTATCGCGGACCTATACAAAACCCCACCTTGCACATGCATACGACACTTCATTGCTTTAGGTCCGATATATTTCCATTTGCATTGCATTTTTTATTTATTTCCAACTATGAATAATTATTTTATCAAAAAAAAAATATATACCAAAAATCTATGAATAATTAGGCTAAAATTCTAAAGAAACTAGTGAACCAACAACATATATATCTTTGTGTAAACTTATATGCAAATGGTGTAAATTCCCTCTCTTTTTTTTGAGAATTTTTTTTTCAAATTTGAGCCAATATTCTTTAACTGTTTTCGATTGGTGAAACTTCCCCATACAAGGACAAGCAATGGTTATATTAGCTCAAGTTAATTTGGATTTAAATCAGTTACATCACTTAAACACTAATAATCACTCGAATCTCTTACTCATTTCCCAGTTTCCCATATGAGGAACCTCATAAACAGTTACACTATTCTATAACACAAAAGAACAAGACATTGATACTGCAAGAAACCATGAATGTTCAGACAAAAATCCTATAGTGGGTTTTTTGTGAGTGTATATTCGCATTGGTCTGGAGGATGGAGAATATATAGAAGATGAACAAAAGCTATTCCGAATTGAAGTCATTCTCGGTTTCATTAACAGAAATTTCACATGGAGATGATAAATCTGATATCCTAAAGAGAATGTTAAACTTTTCCAAGAGAGGTAAACGATTTCGGTCAATTTAGTATCAAGATCAAC